ACCTTAGGTCCGTAACCGTAACTTTAAACTTACCTTTCCTACCATTTATTACTGCGTCTCATACTTGTGTGTGTGTGTGTGTGTGTGTGTGTAGGAGGCTGAGGGAGGGAGCTGGGGGTCACCCATCTCATCTGTGAGCTCCTCCAAGAATAAGCGGTGCCTCCTCCCCTCCTCTCTCAAGCATGTCTTCCTTGCTCCCCTGCTCCCCAAAACCTGAGGGAAAAACTGGGCCTCATTAACTCCCAGGACTTTTCTTACTCAGGACAGTGCTGGGTTCACAAGGCAGTGTGGCCTGGGGACAGGGGCCCAGGGAATGGGAAAGGCAGCCTTCTCCCAGCTCTCCTCCTCCCAGTCCCCCCCTCCAGGCCCCCCTCCTCCCAGCCCCCCTCCCTACCTCTCTTGAGCAGCCCTGTCCTCCCTTCCAGGCTGCAGTTCCAGCGCTCATGCCGGAACTGAAACTGGCACTCGAGAAGGCTGAGGTGTGCAGCGTCCTGCAGGGTCTCAGCCAGGCCTGGCTCCCTCCGACAGAGCTGCTTTTGCCGGCGGGACAGCTTCAGGAGGTCACACTGCTTCAGGTGGGCCCCACCTTGTGCCGGGGCAGCGGCGGTGCCCAGCCCCGGGAAGGGCGTCAGGACCTCCCGCCCAGTCAAGCTAGAGGGGGTGAGAGAAGAGACATCAGTGACCCTTGGGTGTTGTGACAGTGGAGGATGAAAGATGACAACCCCTAAAGATGTGGGGCAGATGAGGGGAAGGGGCCTTCTTGGGGGCTTCATTATTTGTCCTTCTGGGAAGGAGGCTGGCCCCATGGGGTTATGCCCCTATTTTACAGAGTAGGAAACCAAAGTGCTTATAATAATAAGGGCTACTGCAGGATCTCAGATCCAAGTTTTTCAGAAGCCAGTCTCTGCTCTGCTTACCCACTTTATTTCCCAAAGTTGCCCAAACAGAGAAAAAAAATATCACTTGGGGGGCTTATTAAAAATACAGATGCCCAGGATTTATACTTAGCAATTCTGCTTCCATTCGTCTGGAATGGGGCCTGGAAATCTGTATATTTACCACATTCCCTAGGTAGCTGGGGAACGATCCGGGCAGTTTGGGAAATATTGCATGTAGCATTGGCTGCTGCCTGGAGGGGAGAGCTGTGTTCCTAGGAGGGAGGCAGGCAGAGGGATGTAGACATTGAGAAGACAGCCAGCCAGTTTCCCTGGTTATCCCTCTCTCCCTTACGTTATGTTGCTGCCCAAGTAATGTCATGCCTACCTAACTTGTTTCCGTAGTTCCCAGACAGATCTTTAACCATCTGGCCGCTCCATGCCTGTTACAAAGTGATGCTTGGGGAATACCTGAACGGATGGAAGCGGGGAAGGGTAGAGAGATGGGAGGAAGGAAGGAAGGAAGGATGAGTGGATGGACTGACAGGTAGATGAAGGTGAAGGAGCTAAATTTCCATCAGGCCATCAGCTCCAGACTTCTTGCTCTACTACATCTGAAGTCCACGGATTCTGGAGTCAGGCTGCCACGTTCTAAGCCCAGCTGCTGCCTCCTAGCTGTGTAACCTAGAAGCTTTGATTTTCTCCTCTGGAAAGTGGAGAGTGATCTTGTCTACTTCTTGGGGCTGCTGGGAGGATTATATGAAAAGTTACTAACCACTGTGCCCTGGGACATGCTATTTCTCTTTCCTGCTAGCTGGAGTTTCTCAAAATTCTTTCCTTTTGCAAGATGCTTTACTCTCTAACCTGGGCAGAGTCTTCCCTTTGTCTAGACAAGGAAACAAAGGTTTTATGAAGAGGCAGCGACTATCCCGAGTGTTACAGCAGATCAGCAGCAAGGTAGGGGCTACAGTTAGAGCTCAACATCCCTCCCTCCAGAAGCAATCTGTGAGATGTTTCTCTCAGTTCAAAATATCTGCCATTCAGTACCCTAGTAGCCCTCAGCATGGGTAGAATATACAATATACTAGCACCCAAGCTGGAGGAAGCAGTCCCTTTCTGGAATATGCTGGCCTCAAGACCATGGTAAAAGAGCAAAGGTGGAACCAGGCAATGGCTCTTGAAGCTCCTGCTTGGATGGGACACTTGTCACTCAGGCTTGTGTACCACCAGCCAAGGCAAGCCCTGTGGCCAAATGCTGAGTGGTCAGAGAGGCCCTCATCCCCCAGGGCTAAGGGCATGGCTCTCTTGTTTGGAGCCACCTGCTCCAGCCCGGACATCTGGCTGGATGCCACACCCTCCCTGTCTGCCCCGGGAGGGTGTGGGTTCTGGCCAGGCCCCAGGTGCCCCAAGTAAGTGCCCGTAGATTCCACATCCATCAGGTGCAGCCAGCCTGCTGTGGAGCATAGCTCTGAAACCCCCGAGCAGAGACAGATGCTATCAGACTCCTCCCGGCCCAGCTTGGCCCTGGGCTCCCCTCCCAGACAGGGTGAGGGCAGGGACCAGTTAATCATTAATCTGGGGGAAAATGGGTAAATTTCCAGTCCACCAGGTCTACACCCAAACCCCTCCCTGCAGTCTGACAGGAAACCCTTACAGCTTGACCCTTGGCAGGTCCAGAGCAGAACCCGATGTCAGCTCCAGCCCAGGAGGCCCCTCCCTGATGGGCCTCCAGGGTGGAGAGCAGCTCGGGGGCTGCAGGAACAAAGGGTACATCAGCCGTCCAGCCCCTCAAATGTCTCCCTCCCCACAGCAGGGGCTGGTGTGAGGGACAACTTCTGTTCACATAGTTCCTGTGTTTCAGAAATTGGGACCTTCTGTGTAGCAGCTGATTGACAGATGAGAGAACAAGCAGAGAGTGATGGGAATTTTGGCCAACAGGGCTGTACGTCCTTCAAAGCCTGTCTTAAATTTCATTTTAAGAACAAGAGCTGTTATATTATGATAGCTGTGTTATATAATGCTATCTACCACATTTTTGAGTGCTTATTACTAAGCCCTTTAAATTACTCTTGCAGACACCTGTTGGGTTGACTGCCTACCTGCTCCTTCTGTCCATATGGTTACCCTGTTGGCCATTTTTATACCACATGATCTTGCTGCTCTAGCCTGTTGATTGGACCAATGAGGATCACATGACCCAAGCTGGGCCAATCAGTTCCTTCTCTGAGAATTTGGAAATTGACTAAAGAGAGCATACAGCAGTTACTTTCTCTCTCTTTCTTTAGGTGACTGGACTTGTAACTCAGGAGATAAAAAGAGAAAGCTGGTCCAAAGAGACAGAAAAAGAATAAACCAAACACAGAGAGAAACAGAGGTGAGAATGGGAGGGAGAACTGGGGCAGCTTTTCAGCCCCTGGCTTCAGAGTCTTCCTGCAGTCAGCTATGTTCTTGCTTGAGACACTCTGATGTGTAGTACAGTGTCAGGGCTGGGAGTCAGTTTGTCTAAGGGTGCCGTCCCTGATCACCACTTTCTGACAGCTGTGGAGTACAGTACATACCCTAAGCTGCACCTGTGAGCCAGGCTCAGCAAACACCTTTTCCCCCCCATCAACAGGCACCTGTTTTTTTAATTTTGTGTAATAGACCCTGTGATTGATGGCCCCAGGAGTCCAGTATAAAGTCGGTTAATTTTATTAGCAGTAATGACACTTAGTAGCGATTAATGGTCAGGAAAGGCAGCCAACCGCACAGAAGCCTCAGGCTGCCCTGGGCCCTGGTCTGCCTAGGGATGCTCTTGAAAAAGGCCCCCTCGCACTGCCTCAGGGACCCCCACAGGGCCTAGGAAGACAACTGAGAGAACTTCCAGGACCCAGTTTCTCTTTTATTTGTTTTCTGTTGTGCTTTGGGATCATTTTTCCTTTGAAGAAATAGTGCCATGACATCAAATTTAGAAAACATCTCAATTGATTTCCTTAAATGAATGCTAGTGAATGCCCTACAGATGCCATGGCGTCTGCTAGAGATGGTTTCTTCTTGGATTTTAGAATTCTAGATGCTCCAGATTCCAATCTGTTCCAGGGTCAGTGGGCATGATCACCTCCCCTTGAAGAAACTATACTCTCTGGCACCCAGAGCCTGAGAACCTCACCCACCAGGCCCCTCTGCAATACTCTCAGTTACCCATGTGTTAGCTCAGCTCCTTGAGGGTAAGATATACAACCAGAGAAGACTGAGTGAGCTTCATGAGTCTAATGAATCCAGACAAAATCTGGGGTTTTAATGAAGACACTGCTCCATAGTCAGGTGAGATGCTATCAGCCAAGCAAGTGACCAGTGTTCTGAACTAAAGACCAGAGGACGGATAATCTGCGAACTTGCTAATGCCCTTCCGGACTGGGGGACAAGATCACCCTCAGGCCTCTGCCTGACTTGAGTGCCCCTGGGCCGCCTGGGGCGACCCCCCACCATAAGTTGCACCTGCTATGACCCAGCTGGTTTCCCCCATTCCTGCTTCCTGTTGGGCTCTCCCAGGCTGACTTCCAGCCTCTCTTTTCCCATCAGGAAAGCAACAACCCCATGTGACCAGCTCCACTTTCCTCTCTTCTTTGCCTCCAGCCTATGCCCCTCTACTCTATGCACCCTCAGCCCATAGCCCTTGGTGTTCAGGTTGATAAGAAGACTGGAAGCCCCCATGCCACACAATGAGATGCCTTTGGCTTTGACCCCAGAGCCTCCCCAGTCACTTCCCAAGCCACCTTGTCTCCCTCCAAAGTGGGAAAAGTCCAGGTGCTCTTAGGACTTCATCTCACATTCCGCCCCCTAGACCTGCTCTGTCCACACCTGGCCCTTCCGGCCCCTGCCTCCTTTCACACTGTCCAAGGCCCACTCAATCTACAATTTTGGCTTAAACTGCCCCATCTAGGATGACATTGAAGGAAACAAAAGTAAGTTCTCCCAGGCTTTGGCGAAGCTCCCCAGCAGACTGCTTTGGTCTGTCGTCAACAGGATCTCAGGGACCACCAAACCCCTCAAAAGAACTAGAGCCCACCCTGGAATGATCACCCACCACCTGCTGGAGTGTGGGAATCCAAGGACTTCGGGCCCCCAGGGCTGTTGTTGCCTGGGGTAGTCTGGTCCCAGGTTTGCCCTCACCCATTGGTGAACCCAGAGATGTCCGCTCACCCCTAAGCTCGTTCTATCTAACAAATACACATTGACTAGTGGGAGATCATGACCAGAGCCAGACTGCCTCAGTTCAAATCCCACCTTTACCTGTTACTAGCTGTGCTACCTTGGGCAAGGCATGTCACCTCTCTGTGTCTCATCTGTGAAATGCAGATAATCATAATACATACTGACATGGTTATTGTGAGGATTAAATGAATGATCCTTTGTAAAGCTCTTAGAACGGTGCCTGGCATGCAGTAAGCTCCAGGGAAGTGTCGTTCTTAAGCATCTACTCTGTATCAGGGGCTGTGCTGGAGGGAACTTGGCTGGATTCAGGAGCACTCCAAACTCTCCCCAGGCCCCAAGGGCTAGGGGAAGGAGAAGGCTTTGAACCAGAGGAACAATCAGTAGCTGCTCAGGGACCCAAATCAGGATTCCTTGGCTAGTCCTGTTCTGCCTGTAGTGGGGGGCCTGGGGTGGGGAGGGGCAGGAGGGAGGTCTAGGGGGCAGGCCCAGCTCCCTGGGGAAAGCCTGGCAGGTGCAGAGCACTTCCCATCACCAGGGGTGCCCTGGCTCTGCTCTTCCACCCCTACCCCCATCCTTGTTTCTGCTCCAGAGGGTCTGATGGTTCCAGAGGAGGCCGCCCCCATGATGTGGTGGGTGAGCAGGTGGGCGGTGCAGGACAAGACTGGCAATTCCCTGGGCACCAGGTCATGCCAGCCTGTCTGGACCCTGAGCTGGAGGGTCCAGGGGCTGTGCCTGGCACCACGGTCCGTGCCAACTGCAGGTAGTTACCTGGGAACCAGGAAAGCCTTGCCCTGCCTGGAGCATTGGCCTTGGCCCCACAAAACCCTGTTAGATGATCCTGATAACAGGCTTCCGCTGCAGGGCCATTTGTATGGTAAGTGCTTCTTTTGTGCTTTCATCTCAAATATCTCAGTCCACCTTTCCCTCCCTCACTAAATCCCCCAACACACACACACACACGCACACACGCACTCACACTCACTCACACTCCCCCACCTGTTGCCCTTTCCACTCCCCATGTCTTCCCAGCAGGAGAGAGCTAGCAAGGGCAGTGTCTGGCCCAGGAAGAGAGGGCACATTGCTCCAGGCAGTCCCTCTTCAGGGAGGGGGGCCCCTCGGCACCCACCTCTGGCTCCCTTCCCCTCCTCCTGTCATCTGAGGGGCCCCAAGGTTTACATGCTGAGAAGCACACCCCTCCCTCCATCTCTCAGACTCCTTTCTCCTCGAGAAGACTCACTGTCCCCTCATACCTCCTCCAAGAAGATGTCCTTAGTGAGCATCCTCAACAGTTACCATTTTCCACCTTTACTCTAACTCCCCTTAACCACTCCTTTCACTCTCTCACTCATTTATTTAAATAGCAATATAAAGGATTTGACTGAGTTTCAGGTTGAGGCCAAAGAAGACCACTCACTAATTCCCTGTCTGGGTCCCCCTCAGCCCCTCCTGGGTCCAGCCGTCTTTTCCTCCAACTCTTAGCCTCAGAACCCACCTCAAGGACTGAATCATCACACCTCCCCCTACCCCAGAGCCCACCACAGAGCCTCGTCCCCCACCCCACTCCTGGTGCAGAGAGAAAAGAGCCTGGTCCAGCTGTGGGCTTTGTCTCTCCCAGAACAGCTCCACTTCCTGTTTCACAGCCACCAACCGGGCTGCCTGCTGAGGATGGCATCGTGGAGACGTGTGCTCACAAGCTAAGTGGGCAGCCAGCAGCCTGTCCAACAAGCGTGCTTTGCATCTCAACAATCTTGGGTATTTAGAGCATGGCTTAGTGCAACATCTGTGGAGGAAATGCTTCCCCCTTCCTCCCTCCTGCCTCCCTCCCACTCCACTCTGGCTCAGGCTGAAGCTGACTAGAGGAAGCCTTTGTCCCTGGCATGCATGCATCAGGTGGCACGGTGGTCACAGAGGGTACCCAAAGTCACTCCTGTATGGAGGAATCCCTCCCTTTCATGAGTGTGAGATTATAAACATCTCCCCCAGTTCCCTGGCTGGGTCCAAATGTACACCATTTGAATCACTATATTCTACAGCTGGGGAAATCCAAGATCACCCAGCCCAGAGATTTTGCCTTGATGGCACCTGGGAAGGTATCCCAGAGGCTTCTAGGGGCAGGCAGGAGGGCAAGAGGTTTGCCAGGTATGCAGGTCTCTGTTTTGACTTGTCTGGTGCCCTGGAAGTTCACGTAAGATTTTTTGGTCCAAGATGACCCAATGAGTTAGTGGCAGGGCTAGGACTGTGCCCAGGTCTCCTGACTGCTTCTGTCAAGACTGGTGGTCTCCGCTTTCAGTTTTAATGTAACACTTCAGGGAAGCAAAATCAGCCATCACTATAGCAAACATCTAGGGTGACAGAAACACAAGACAAGTAGGACTGAAGGGAAGGAAGCCTGGTCAGGACTCCTCTGGCCTCCTGGGCAGTCAAAGGGAGAGAAGGGCTCTGGTCTAAAACTCTGTTTCTTTTTAGTCAAGAGTCAGAAATAAAGCGTAGAGAAGTGGCCTGTCAATTCATACCCAAGTGTGAGAGTCTGATATAATTATGCCAGTGCCTAAGGACATAACTTTGCTAGACAGAAGGAAGCTCAAAGGAGAGGTCTGGGATAATGAAGAGAAGAGAGAAAAGGGAAGCCTCAGGGGAGGAATGGAAGGGAAAGAGAAGAGGGGAGCTGGAAGCCTTAAGACAAGCTTCCCCAGCTTCTTGGGTTCACAAACCCAGCCCTGACCCAGGGGACGAATAGTTTAGGGGGCCCAGGGTGGGGACTGCAGGGAAAGGCGAGTCATCACCAAAGGTATATCTTCTTGGGGCAAGCAACACCCTCACCCTGCTCTGCTCCAACCATGGGATCCCAGATCATGGGCTGCGTAACTTTGGCCCATTTTTTTCAACCGTAGTAAGTTGACCAACTAACCAGCATGGCAGGCTCTGGAAGAGCCAGGCCCCTGGGGAATGCCTTGTGTATGATCATCCTGTGATGAGGACAATTCTATTGTTTGCACATGCTCTAGGAGGAGACGTTCCATGCTGCAGACTCCACTTGTCCTCCTGCAGATCCTAGCGATGGCCCACCCACCCCCACAACCCTCCCCTGAGCTCCAAGGATAGCAGGAATCTCCTACCTGGTCAAGGAGCCACTCCCTGAATATGCCTAGTAGGGCCAGAGGGGTCAGGACAGCCCCAGGGTATGGATGGAGTTGTAAGGGGCTTCTTTGGAAACAGAGCAGGGTCCTCCAGAGCATGACCAGAACAGCTTCCCACCTCAGACTGTCCTGGACTCAGAGCCAACCAGGGCTGTAGCAGAAGGTCCCTCCCCTCAGGCCAGGCAGATCTCCTCCTTGTCCTCTTGCCATGGCCAACTTAGTCCAAACTCCATGCCTTTCTTCATGCTGTAACTGCTACCTGGGTTGCCTTTCCCAGATCAAAAGCCCTCATGGATCCCCTGGACTCTTTTATAACCACAGCCTTTTTCAAGAGTTGACTCAAGAAAATGTAGGGAATGGGGAAGGTGATCATGAGGCCCCATTCAGCTCTAGTAGGCTAAGATACGTGTCTGCCTCTTCCAGGAAGTCCTCCTTACTTGCCAGCCCCATCCTACTCAACCATCCAATTTCTTTGTCTTCTCCCACTTTTTTGAATATAGTATCATTAGATCTTCATGGTTCACACTTTTTTTATTCCTCCTCAGGGCTGTACAGTCTCTCCAAGTAGCCTGGAAGCCCTTTGGCAGAGGTCCTGGTTTCTCACACCCTGAGGGCCCCCAGCCCAGACACCTGCTGACTGCATACATTTCTCAGATGTTAACCCCAAGCAGAAAGTATAGCTCCAGGCTCTCCCTCAGTCTCTCCCACCCCCAGACCCATATCACTGGCCTCCCTGCCGCCTCAGTCCCAGGTTACAGGGGTCACCTAACGCCCCCCACTGCCACCAAACCTTCCCAAACTCAAGCAGGCTCTGGAAGGGTGTGGCTCTGGAGTAGCTTGCCTGAGGCCATGCCCTCCCCTGCCCTTAGACTGGGATGGGCAGCGTGAGCTCTCCCCAGTGCAAGATCTCAGGACAGCCTGGCCACGGTCAGTCAGACTCTGACTCCTCCGACCAGCTCAGCCCCCACGGGACAGGGAGAGCCAGGCTGATTCCCTATGAACCTCAGTTTCTGGGGACAAGCTGGGCTTGGGCAGCCAGAGCCTCCCTTTGCTACACAGTGAGAACTTGGCCCAAGACTTTCTTTAGAACGGCTTGCACAACCTCTCGTGGTGACATGTGCTGAAAGTTTACTGCAGGTTCACAAAATTTTATCCACAATTCCAGACTCCAGAAAGCTCAGACAACTACTATTTTTTTTTTTTGCCCATTGGTGGTGAACTCATATGGCAGCAAGACTTGATCTGAACCGAAGTGAGAATATTTATGGTCTTTATTTATCCCAACAGGTAAATGTTTTTCTGCAAAACTAATTGTGTCTGATTACTGGGGACTACCTATACCTTGCTAGGGATGTTATATTCTATGTGGCGTATGTATCATATGATCTTTCTAAAACTTGAAACTTCTTGAATTCTGAAATGTATCTGGCCTCAAAAGGATTGGAACTATGGGAAAGCAAACCTTCTCTACTCTTGCCCTAAAACCCGTCTCTGGGGAATTTTCAGGACTGACTGAATACGGCGGTTCAGTTCTCACTTGGCTCTTTGAGACTCTTTACCTTCCCTCTCTGGTCTCTCTAGTGAGAGGGTCTTGGCTTGAGGTGTCTGTCCCACCCCACCCCCCACCGCTCATCTCCGATGCCCCCAGGGTTCCCACGGAAGACCAGGTGTGGCTGACTTCCGAAGTCTGATGGGAGCAAGTGTCTGCTCTCTGCTTTGCAGGTCTTATCCTGACAGAGGCCAGGCCATGACCAAGCAGTGTGTGCTTGAGGGAGTCAGGCAGAGAGAGCAAACATGATGGGGCAGAGAGGGAGGTTCTGGGGGAGAGGAAGGATCAGCAAAAGGGAGAGGGGACGGCCCACCCAGACATTCACTGTGGACTAGGAGGCAATGCTAGGTACTGTGGGAGGAGTCATCCAACAACAGGGTCCAAAGACTTCTGTTTAAAGGGAGCTGCGCATGGATTGGAGACATGAGTGTGTAAAACATTGGGTAACAAGCCAAGAGTTTAAGACATGCAGTGCAAGAGATACCTGCAACATATGCCAAGTGAAAGGTGTCGGCTACAGGGTGGAGGGCTGGTCAGAGGGTCAGAGCTGCCCAGGGGAAGGCAGGCCTCAGCAGGGCATCAACAGGCAGCAGGAGGCAGGGATGGAGAGGTTGGCTCTGGATTCTAACAGACTGGAATTCAAATCTAGGTGCTGCCAGCCACTAGCTCTGTGACTTTGGGCAAGGCATTTGGCGTCTCTGAGCTTTTCTCCCCCATCACCTGTAAATGAGGATGATTATATCAGCACCTACCTCCTGGGATGCTACAGTGGTTAAATGAGATTATGCACATAAAGTACTGAGCCCAGGAAGGATTCAAATTACACAGTGACTGGGATAAAGATGAAGAGAGGAAGGAACAGATGTCAAAAAGATGCTCCTTTAAGTTGGGATGCTATAAGACAGACCACTAGGTTTCTTGGACTCCATATATATGGATAACATTTCAGCAGTTTTATATACATAAAACCATCATAACTACCCAATGAGGTAAGGATTAGCCCATTTTATAGGTGGGAAAACTGAGGTCAGAGCAGCTAACTGACTTGCCCTGGGCTACAGTTAAAGTAGCTGGCTGGAGGATTTGAACTTGATCTGTGTGACTGAGTCCAGTGCTCGTTACACCACAGCAGGGTCTTGGGCTGCCTCCCATCCTGCTCAGGCTGATGCCCAGGTGAGGGTCTCCCTCACAGCACCTGGTCTACCTCCTCTTGAGCCCACCTTCTATCTGAGGCACCAGGACCTCTCTTCCTTAGAAGATTCCTTCCCCCACTCTGCTTCTCTCACCTCTGTTTTCCCATCCTCAGCCTCAGAAACTCCATCACCTTCCACTGAGGAGGCTGGTTTGACCCTGACTCTGGAGCCCAACTCCTCAGGGGTTACAGCTCAGCCAGAGACAAGCAAGTCTAAATTCCTTCCCCAAATACAATGATTCTTATCAGTGATGTTTGGCTTGCAGTCTACCATCTCAAAGCAATAAAATTTATTTTACCCTTTCTTCCCTCCAACTCTGTTTTTCTCAGGACCCAGTCAATTCCTAAAACTGTTTTTTAAAAATCCAAATACATAAAACACTTAGGAATAATTTTTTAAATGTTTGCAAGACCTGCACACTGAAAATTATAAAACACTGCTGATAGAATTTTTAAAATCCCCCAAAAGAGACATATGGCTGGTTTATAAATCAGTAGACTCAATACTGTTAGAATGCCAATCTTCTGTAAATAGATTTATAAATTCAGTGCAATCCCAATCAAAATCTTAGCAAGGCTTCCTGTAGATATTGACAAGTTGATGCTAAAATTTATGTGGAAATTTAAAGGACCTAGAGTAGCCAAAACAATTTTGAAAAAGAAGGATGAACTCATTGTACTTGGTTTCAAGTCTTACCATGCAGCTACAGTAATTAAGACTGTGGTACCGGCCTAAAGATAAATTTGTGGAACAGAATAGAACCTGGAAATAAGCCCTAATATGTTGGGTCAATTAATTTGCAACATAGATGATGATGAAAGGATCATCTTTTCAACAAATGGTGCTGGAATAAGGGGATATCTACCTGGAAAACAATAAACGTCAACCCTTACCTCACACCATCCACACAAATTAACTCATAAAAATCAGAGACCTAAGTGTAAAGCTGAAACTATGAAGTTTCTAGAAGAAAACACAGGAGGAAATCTTTGCAACCTCCAATAGGCGAAGATTTCTTGGATAAGACAGACAAAAAGCACAAACCATACAAGAAAAAGTTGAAAAGTTGTACTTCACCACAATTAGATCTGTCCTTCATAAGGTAATAAGAAAATGAAAAGGCAAGCTACAGATAGGGATAAAATATTGTTAATACTTTCTGATGAAGGATTTATATCCAAAATATGTAAAAAAAACCTCTTACAACTCAGTAATAAAAGACAAAGAATCCAATGAAAAAGATATCCAAATGATCAACACACACATGAAAGATGTTCAACTCACGATTCATCAATGGAAAAACACAAATTAAAACCACAATGAGACACTAATACATATCCACTGAAGTGTCCAAAATTAAGACTGACAGCTGACAAGAATATGGAGCAACTGAAACTGTCTTACATTACTGTGTAAAATGGTACAACCACTTTGGAATACCATTTGACCATTTCTTCTAAAGTCAAACATGTGCACATGATCCAAAAATCCAGTCCTAGATATGTATCCAAGAGAAATAAAAACATATGTTCACAAAAAGGCATGTACATGAATGTTCATAGCAACTTTCTTTGGAATAGCCCCAATGTGGAAACAATCCAAATGTCCATCAACTGGTGAATAAATAAACAAATTATGTTACATCCATACAATGGAATACTACTCAGCAAGAAAAAGGAATGTGCTACTGATACATGCAATGACATGGATGCATCTCAAAAACATTATTTTGAGCAAACGAATTCAGATACAAAAAGCTACATAAGGAGGGGAAGGTATAGCTAAGGGGTAGAATTCATACTTAGCATGCACGGGGTCCTGGGTTCAATACCTAGCACCTCCTTTTATAACAAATAAATAAACAAACAAACCTAGTTACCCCCCCAAAAAAGATATCCTTAAAAAGAAGTCATAAAGTCAATGAGTGCATGGCCCTAAATTAGGTACATTAATAGATCAAGTAAGAGTCCCATTTTTTTAAAAAATGGCATAAAAAAAGGCTATATACCATATGACTCCATTTATATGAACTTCTACGACAGGCAAAACTAATCTAAAGTGACAGAAAGCAGAGAAGTGGTGACCTGGGGCTTGTGGGAGAGTGTTGACTGCAAAGGAGCAGAAAAGATCCTTTGGGATGATGTCACTGTTCCATACAAAAATTGTGGTGGTAGTTACACAGGAGTATA